TCTCATGAACCCCGAGCACAAACACGGAAAGCTCTAGACCCGCAAGTGCAAATCCTCCTTCTTTGCACACCCACGCGCCCGAATGGGTACCTACCTCGTAACTTAAACGAGGCCAGACCAAAAGAAACTAGAGTATTACGTACTTAAAGGCTTTCTCACGCTTTTGGGAGATACCTTATTGAGTTCAACTCAAGTGAATAATCTAAACTCCCAAGGTTGGTATTTATAGGCAAAGGCTCCCAAAATCTTCAATCATCTTTCCATGTGGGAGATATGATAAGTGAGAAAAAATAAGTAATTAATTTAATTCTAAATTAAATTAAATACACAAACTAATTAGCAAACAACAAGTGGCAAGAGGAGAGGGAGGGTAGGTGGGGACCACAAGAGGAGGACCACACCTTCCTTGTCTCCCCAAGCCAAAACACACTCACCAACCGGCCCCAATTGTGGCGCGCCAGCTGGCAACCTGCCTTCTACACCAAGGTTGCCTTGCTGGCGCATAGTCCCTCGTCTGGGCCTACCAGCCAGCCCACGCAGCAGTGGCAACCCCGCAAGGCAGCGGCCCTCACAAGTAAGTGCGAGCTGCTATGCGTTGGGCGCTGCACTCGCTAGCGTGGTCCAGCTAGCCTTGCTGGCCGCTAGCCTTGCTAGCGAGGGCATACTGCTAGCCCGCATGCACCTACTCGACTAGCACACGCCTAGCCAAGCCATGTGATGCTTGTAGGGCTTGCGGCCAAGCATGTGCCATGCGCCAGCAGCCCGGCTAGCTAACCTAGCCCGCCTAGACCTCGCATCACTAGTCCATTGCTAAGCTAGGACTTTTGTGCGCGTTGACTTGTTGTTTGGATAAACCTTGTTTCGTCGATTGCATAAGTTATCTCGACGTTTGATGCTCGGGTTTGACGCTCTAAGCTCGAAACCCGACGTTTGAGTTCATAAAATCTCTATCGAATTATTTAATCCTTCGAATTAATTCGTCGCATTTTTTCGGTTACACAATTGGGTGTGACCCGAAGGGTTCAGTCAAGAGAAAGATGTAATATTAATTATTTATTAATATTACTGATCGGAAGCGGACTCCAACTAGACATTCCGATCACTTGACCTCACTGAATAATTAGCTTTCCTAGTTAATTTCGAACCTTGTATCGGAATAATACACTTGTTCGAAGGAAACCATTCCTATTCCTAGCCTCATTTCACAGCCAACCGATTGGAGCCGATGATTTTCTAATCACGTTCCAAATTTTCAACAAGAGACATTCAATGAACCTCTGGGAATTCAACGTCCATTTGGACTTTAATCCCGATGCCAACCTTCTTTCCCCTACTCCACAACCCTTCCCCGAATACAATGAGTTTTATTGGTGGAAAACTATCTCTGGGATCCCTAAGTTTAGCACCCGATTCATCCGGCCCTCCGCATCTTACACCGCCTCCTTGGGTATGCGGTATTTAGTAAGCAAGATTTGGGTAAGCTTTCGAGGGAAGAAGTCTTCACCCTTTGGATTACCACGAGAGAAGAGTTGAGTGGGCGGCTCAACATGGGTTACTTATTCATGAGGTGTTGTGTGGACCTCACTAGTGGGAACAAGATGGATGAGATCGCCCTTGGGGCGATGATTATAAGGTTAGCCACAAAGCTCGGCCATGGGATCCTCCTCCCCGCATGTACCCCGGTGGGTAATGAGAGTGATATTTTTCTTGATATTGCCTAACTCAAGAAGTTGGATTTCATCACTTAGACTGAGGATATGAACAACTATTATGATTGGCTAGTGAGCCATGAGCATCAGTGTATCCTCCCAAACCCTGCTAGGAATGTTTCGTTCGTGACATATGATAATGGGGCGTTGCCAAATGCAAACATGGGAGGAGATTTAGAAGGTGTTGAGGAGGAAAAAGGAGAAGAAGAAGATGTACAACAACAACAACAACAACAACAACAACAACAACAACATCATCATCATCAAGGCATGCAAAGCCTTTAACAACAAATGAGGAGCATGCAATTGGGCATGCAAGGCTTATTCGAAAACCAACAAGGTATATTCCTCCAAACTCAAGCTCTCTATGATGCAATGTAAGTAGGGGTGAGGTCACCCCCATGGTCAACTACCCATATTGGCCACCATAACAAGGCCCAATACCTCAATGGTCGAGTGGTGAGCAAACTTGGCCTTATTGGCATGGACTTCCCGTGCCAAAAAAGGTGTTTCTTGAATACCCACCATATAACTACTAACAACCGGGTGGGTGTGATTATAGGGGTGATCTTAACTACCCTTAAGTGGATCCCACTCACCCCGCCCCTCTACAAATGCCCTTCCTTTCAACCCGTTGCGCAAATGGCAACAAGACCTTTACAAAGGTCACTATGGTTGGCCACCTGGCTACACCGGGGGATGGGATCCTCATGGCATCCCTCCGGCCAACTTTTCTTATGAGGAGGATAAGGATGATGGTGGTGCCGACCCTAGTGATGGTGTCAGCCCTAATGGCCATTAGCCCCCTTTACTTTCTTTTTTTCCCTTTGTCTCGCCCTTCGATTGTTTTTATCATGTTGCACTGAGGTCAGTGCTTTTTTCTAGTGTGGGAGGGGGGTATAAGGGGCAAAGGGATGTCTATGTGTGGTGTGGGGGAGGGTAGTATCATGCTAGTGTGGGGAAATGACATGCTTTGGTTGGTTGGTTTCAATTTTTGCTTATGATGATGATTGGCCAGTTGTTTGATTTGTTGTTGTTTTCATGAGTTTGATGATGTTTTTGATGATGAGTGTGATGATTTTTTAATGATGGTGTTTTGATGATGATCTCCATGATAATTTTTGAGGTTTTTTATGATGATTTCTATGACATTCTTGATAATTTTTGAGGCTTTTTGATGATGATTTCTATGACATTCTTGATAATTTTTGAGGTTCTTGTTCGATTGAGATGCTCCCATTGAAAAATCCAAATCCTTTCAATCCAAACCTCTTTTTCTCCAAACTTGTATATAACTTTTTGTTTAGTTCCTTTTTCTTTGTTTATAGCTTTAGTTTTCTTCATTTTTGGTTTACTAACCTTTCTTGTGTATAGTTGTAGTGTCTTTCTTTTATTCACCTTGTTTTGTAGCTTGAAGATAAAATGCACAAAGAGATGGGCTAAGGAGCGATTCAAGCTCCGGAAACCTTGGTGAGATCGTAAAATTTGCTTTGTGTTCCAATTCAAGCGACATTTGGTGAGACCTTTCCTTTCTTTCTTTTTATTTCCTTTTGTGTGCATAGATTAGCTTAGACTAGGTTGGAGTTGAATGTTCGAGGTTGTATGCATTTGATTCCACGAAATCTGGTGATTATTGGTATTGATACCGAACGATCTTTGTTTGTCGATTGGGAATTATATGTTTACTTGCCTCTTTGATTTCTTTTACTTCTTCCTTCTAAAAAAAAGCAAAAAAAATTTGAAAAATGAAAAATATTTTCCCTTTTGTTCAAGACAAATCATGTAAATTTTAGTTGTTTCATTTTCATCTTGAGCATAATAAAAGTTAACTTGTGGGTTTGAATGCCTATCTTCTTGAGTTTTATAAGTTTGCACGCTTCAGGATTGCCATTGGTTGACTTTAAGATATGTCTATGCTAAGGTAGTTGTGCTAGAACTTGTAAGGCCCATCGAACCCAAATTCACTTGTTTGTGGTAAGAAGGTGTTGCTCTCATTAGGGGATTTGAAGCCCTAAAGGTAGTTTTAACCCGATGTGAGCTTTATTGTTCAAGCCTCCAACATTCCTTATATGAGCGGCATAGGATCCTTACCAAAGCATGCTTAGATCAAGAACATGACGTCTAGCTACCCGAGATCATGACCGAACTAAATCTAGGGATGACAAAGGCATTCTTCCTTCGGTGACTATTTTGTTCTCTACGATTAGCTTTTGTTTTTATTGCTTTTTGTATTTTTATTTGCATTTACCCCTCTACTAGCCATGTTTTGTGTAATACCCCGTATTTTTATAGTTATATTAATTTTAAATATTATTAAACGACGTATTTAAATAATTTGAAATGAATTATTTATGGTATTGTAATAATTTAAAAGGTTTACTTTAATTAAAAACCCAATTCTGTTTATTTATTTGGTTTTGGTAATATTTTATTTCATTATTTAGAAACTTTGGGGCATACTCAATTTATAAGGGAATTTTTAAAGTCAATGGAATTTTAAAGAAAGTCAAATACCAAGTTGAATGGGAATGGGAATCATTAAGGAGAAAAAGGGAAATATAGTTCGTAGGGTTTTGAGAGTGAGTATAAATACCCACCTTAACAACAAATTAGACTTTGCCCATGGTGGAGAATACCCAAAGGTAAACTCTCTTTCACTCCTCTCTTATTTTCTTTCCCTTTAATTTTTCCCCTCCCCTTCTCACTATGCACGACACATACACACACACATGCACAACCACCGCAAGGGTGGCCGACAGCCACCACCACCACCAGCACACGCTGGCAGCAGCAGTTGGTGTTGCCGCCTCCCTCTTGTGCGTGCGAGTACGAATAAAAAAAAATCATGCTTCAATTTTTAATTAGCTTTGATTAATTATTGTTTTGGGTGTTGTGTGATGATTTTATAATGTTTTTGATGATGTTTAATTCACATAATTTTTAGATTTGGTTTTTATGTGAAAAAGCCCCAAATTGATAAACCCTAGATTTCTAAATTGATGTTTATTGATGGAATTTAATGGTGGTTGATTAAAACTATTGAACTTAGTGTTTTTAAATTAAATTACAGCAATTTTAAGAGTTTTTATAATGCTGAAATTTTTATGTAGAGACTAGAATAAAGTTTTCTTGAAGGGATTTTAATTACCCATTAATTTGGAATAAAAGTAGATGGTTTTAATTAATTTTCAGCATGTTTTAGAAGGTTTTAAAGTGTTTTAAAGACTGTATATATTGTTGGAAATTTAATATGAATGGGTATTAATGTCTCTATGAAATTGTGGGTTGTAGGACACTTCCAAGTGAGTGATTTATGTAGTCGTGGCGGTTTTGAGATCATATTCAAGGTATGTACGCGTACTCGATATTATTTAAGCGTGTAGAAGCATGCTAGGATTTACTTTTAATGATTCTAAATTAGTATCATGTTAGGAATTGGTTGGAATTAGTGAATTGAATTGAATTGATTGAGTTGGAATGGATTTTGGGGAAATATTGGTGAAGCATGATTGGTTGAAGTATTTATTTGTTTGAATTGGTGATATTGGAATATTTTTATTGAACCATACTTTTATTGTTGGCATGTTTAAAGGCTCACTTGGTTAAAGTAAATGTTTAATTTGGATTGGAATACAAAAAGGGAATTTTATTATGGTTCATATAATTTTTATTGATGCTATAAGCATGGGAATTGAGCTAGTAAGTGTCTTTGTACATAGAAAATAAAGGAATGAAATGCGGTGCCTCAGTGCACTTAAGGTGTTTTAAACACCGAGGGATAGGATTTGCGGTGCATTATGTGCTTAAGGTGTTATTTAACGCCGAGGTAGTTTATAAAGGATTCAACATTTAATCATTCATGATTACTAATGGTTCAAGAATTAAATTGGAATGTTTGATTACTTGAATGATTTATGTTGATTGATTGTGTTGTAGATTGAGAGTCATCACCAAGTCTAAAATATTTAAATAACATAATGTGAAAGAGATTGCTCACCAAAACTCTTATAACGTATATACCTCGAGTATGAACACATGGGGGAAATTATGTGAGTTTATATTTGATCATAACTACTACTAAGAGTATAGGACGTTGTATTTCCTTTTTATTTTTTTAAGCAGGACATCCAGTCACTTCATGTGACATTTTTCCCTACCCGATTAGCTCCCGGTGTAGTTTACCTCAATTTATTTGGGGTAGGGATTTGGTGGGAAACCCGTGCGATGCGTAATCAAACTAAATAAGAAATTCAATTATCCATTGATTGTGTTGTGTGTTTTATGCTTGTAAACAGGTGCAATTAGGTAAGTTGTATGATGCTAAGATGAAAGCATGTTAGTGTGATTCGTTTACGCTTATGTACTCAGCATTGCTGATTGGGTGTTTGTATGTTTGTTTGGCCTTGTCTTTATCTTAGCCCTACGATGACCCATTTCTAATGGCGAGTAGTGGGGACAAAATAAAGAGAAGCTTTTCAGGTGATGAAGCATATTCATGATGGGCATGAGTGAAGAGTAAATCTTGTTTAGTTCATACGAGGATGTGATGTGTTTATTTTCTTTGATTATTATATATATTTGCTTGTGAGATTAACGCAATGGTTTTAAGTATTTGTTTGGTTTTTAAAAGAGCCTACAATGGTTCCAAGTTGTAGGTTGACTTCGTTTAACTTTGGTTTGACTTTACTTTCGTTTGGTTGACTAATGGTTTTTAAAACAAGTCTTCCTCTATGTGTCTTGATAATTGTCTTAGTCGTTTTCACAGTGGCGGTAATGTCTTAGAATTTCCTGATTCGTATTTTAAAAAAGGCAAAATAGGTATTTAACGGAAAGGAATTTCTAGGGTAATACAAAGTGGTATTTGGGAGCTTTGGTTAAGATTTTTATTACCACTAAAGCCAAAAACATGTTTTAAAATATTTTGTTTTAAACTTGGCCAAGTGTTTATTTTATGAGTTATTTTAAAAAGTGAGTTGTTTTACTTTATTTTTTTTAAGAGGACCGAAATTTTATTTTTATAAGGAAAAGGTCCGAAATTTTTTATAAAAAAATTGGAGAAATTCGATTTTTTTTATTTTATTTTGGGGTGTCCGAATTTTTTTTTATTTTGGCCAAAATTTTTTGCCTTATCTAGGCTAATTTTCTGGAAATTTTAAAATAAACAGGAGTCAAAAAAAAATTTGGTTTGTCCGTTTTGTAGGGAAGCGAAGGATTAAGGTATGAAGTATGTATTAAAAGTTTTAATAGCATGTTTGTGAGCTTGGGTAGGAAAGAATTTGGGCATATAAGTTAGAATTATTTATGTTCTTGTATGAATTAAGTATTTAGGTTGCGATGTTTGATCATGTGAATTGATGGTGTGGAAGCATGTAATTATGTGATTAGAAATAAGTAAGATTGTTGGATTAAACACTGAACCTAAATTCATGCAAGAACTGTCTTTTTTTTTTTAGGAAGGGAATTCTTTTCTAAACCTTTTCCTTAATAGGATGCCGATCTATCCTAACAAAAACTCATTAATTGGAACCCTAATTAAGAAAGACTATGAACATTCCTTTGACTATGTCAAGAAAATCCGCTTTTATTGTTCACACCTGAGTAATGTCCTAGGAGACAAGCAGTATGATCTCCCTAATCGTGTTTCAGCCATGATAATTCATTGTCTTTCTGATGAACCCCATATCTTGCTGTCAAGACAAAGTTTTTTTATTTCTACTTGCCTGGGGACATTCCCAATTACTCGAAATATAAGACTATTATAGACAATGGTACCCTGACTACAGATACTTGATTTCTTACCTCATTCGAGTTGAGAAATATCACTGCAACGCTTACAGATTCCATATCCAAATTATTATTATGATAACCTAGCAAGGAATAATTCCCCTTCTACAAGCAGCCAATTAGGAAACACTTCTCCATCATAGGGCAATCAACCAGGAGCAATTGGAGGGCAAGAGGAAGGAGAATCAATGGAGGAGAGTAACCATACTGTTGACAGTTCCATTATGGAAATCTCAAATCCAAATCCACCCCCAACCCCAATCATTATTGACATTTCATCTGACGATGAGGAAGATGAAAAGTTTATTCAAGTAGAGCAAAATCCAGAGACACCTAAACCAATGGAGGAGGAGGAGGATGTTCGGAAGGACTAGATTTTTGTAGTTTCGCTTCTTCGATTTCTAGTTTATTTTCCGCAGCCATAGTTATTTCTTTTCCAGTACAGTAATAAGTGGCATGGCCATAGTAAGTCAATAAACCTATTGATTTGCGTAGGTTATTTGAATTCATTTTATCTTCCAGTTATTCCTTTATTCATAAATAAAATTTATATTCATTTCCTTTCCAAATGATCCATTTCACTGCCAAATAATTAATTTTGTAATCACATTATCCATTTCATAATGAGCCATTTCTTACTCAAATGTTCCAATAAATCATTTCCAAACTCGGGGAAATCATGGGAATTATTTTTATCTATTATTCTGATGCTTTTTTAAATGTATGATTGGTTAGCAATAAAAAATGTGTTGATCAAGCAGCAAAAATAGAGAGTTGTAATTTTTACAACCTCAATTTAGTGGCTTAAATTAAATATGTAAGTATGATTGGTATAAGCTAGAAGGATGGGTGTCTAACTTGAGAGCTAACCATGACCATAATTAATAAAGACCCCTTATTTCAATTCAGGAGAAGGAAGATGGCATGAGGAAGTGGAAACAATAATGATGGAGGAGGTGAGCTAAGTGAAGTTGTAAAACAGTTGGCCACGATTGCCCAACAGTTAGCAAGGAACTCGACCAACTATGGGGATGCTAAACGCGGGGAAATTAGGTCGTTGACTAACCTCCTAACGATCAAACAAATTTATTAATCCTAAAATAACCCCTAAACAAGTCTAGTGGTAAGTTTGGAGTCGAACCACAAGGAACGGTAATGTTAGATTGTTTTTTATTTAATGCTTAAGCTAAACCGAAGTCGGTTTATGGATAGAGGACACTACAACTACACTAACACATATATAAAGAACAATGTATTATAAAGTCTACTAGGGGAAAAGATCCACTTTGAACAATTAATGAGCTAATGAGAATCCATTTGATAACCAATAATGCAAAGAAAGAATTAAATGGAATTGATTGCACTCAAGAGCAATCTCTCAAATTCCTAGCCTAGATCCCTATATGACTAGGTGCATAAAAGAAATTAACCCAAAATGCAATCAAGTATATCAATTCTAATTCACAATTTTTTGTCAAACTAGAACCAATATGCAATTAAGTTTGCTATCATGGGAGATTAATCTAATCTAAAACAAACAACATGTCATCAGTAATTCAATCAATTTAATCACACAATTACCATCAAATTTATAGTAGAAGGGAAACTACTCAAAGATGATGAATAAAGCAATTAGATAAAGAATAAAGAGAAGAGAGAGTAAGAAATGCTCATTGATATAAAATGGAGATCTTCAAATCATCAAATTGCTCCTTTGATTATCCAAAATCCATGAAAATCATTATATTTCTCACTTTCTTTCTCTAAAAATTGAGAGTTTCTCTCTCTAAAAACCTAAATCTAACCTAAAAACTACTGAAAAAATGAATTCCTCTCTCCAAAATGAGCAAAAGATCTATTTATATCTCCATTATTTTGTCTAGGGAGCTCCGCAAAAAAGTCGAGCAACGTTGTAAGAGCGGACGCTCCAAATTCAATGCATGGACGCTCCTAGCTACAGCAGAGGGAGGCATAATCGTTCCAGAAAGTTTGGATCGGACGCTCCTTGTAGACTGCGTGCTCGCTCCTATCGTGCTAAGTAAAACTACTCAGCTTGAAACGAACATCTCCCTCGTTTTACATCGGAATTAGGCATATGAACTTTTGTTGGAAAGCTCTCGAGATAAGCTTTCATCTCCAATTGGAATCACTAAAAAATGTTTTGTAGATCAAATATAGGCGTTTGAAGCTCGATCTTTGCAAATCAAGTGCACATTTCTTCATTACTTCTTCAATTATGTTTTATATTGCTTCAATCTTGAGCAATGAATGTATCCAAGTGTTCCTAAACATAAGAATAAACCAATAAATTTTAATCTAATGCAAGAAGCAACCAAATTATGCAAGAAAAGTCAAAATTGAGCAATATTGACATTTCACACGCAAACACGACAAATGTAATAAAACATTATTAACACCAAGTAAAAAGATATCAAAACTATGAAAAAGTAATTTGAAAACTCCTAAAAATAGTGACATAAATGACACTTATCAAATTCCCCCAAGCTTAACTTTTGTTCGTCCTCAAGCAAACAAAATGAACACAAGGGAAAGTAGTGCATTTACTCAAAGAAAACTAGAAGGGAAAGAATATACACTAACTCACTTTCATAAGAATTACGAATACATTTAGCGTATGCATCAAGCACTTTAAACCCCTTAGATCGCTCCAGAGGACGAGTATGCTCTCGTAAGGGTTTTCTAAGAGTTTGACCCATAACTCTTGACAAAAATCAAGGCAAAGCATTAAATTTTAAAAAAAAAAAAAATCAAAGTGAAAAAAAGAGGTTACAAGCTTTCTTGAATGGACTTTTATGATGGTTCAAGAACTAATGAATGTCAATCTTTTTAAAAATAAAGGTATGCACGTTCTAAGATGTCCAAGGTTGATTGAAACATAACACATGATAAGCATAGAGAACTAATGGAAACACAATCCACCTTTTGTTCCAATCAATCGAATAAACCACGTCCTCTCTACTAGTTTCAAATCCACTTTCAAGTTAGCTTCTCATGATTCCACAAAGGGACAGAATATAAATAAGAAATTAAAAAACATTGAGAAAGTTACCCGATAGCTTGGCTATGCAAACTCGCTCTATAGGCTTGATTCCTATCTCACGCAACCAATAAATGACTCAACCCTCTAGGATCAAAAGGACTTTCAAGATTGTAACATATAGGCTAGGAAAGTAAAGGTGTGGAAAACCTTTGAAATTGGTAGTAAACCTACATGTGAAGCCCGGGTGGAACTTTTTTCACAAGATCCAAACGAATCCAAAACAAAAGTACCAACTATGCTCATAAAATAAAATTTTCCCCAAGCTAATTTAACACAAAATAACAAAAATTAGGGAATAACAACTATAGCAAAATCTCTTTGTGCTTTTCGTTCTTCATTTTTACCTTTTTTCGATTTTTTTTTTCAAGCTTTTGCTTTTTCATTTAATGTCCTCGCCTCTTTTAACTTTGGACGAATTTTTCTCAAAATGCATTTGCTTTTATGTACAAACTTATATACAACACATACTTGTTTTGAAAATGAACTCATAATTCTAAACTTGCACCATAAACAATTAAACAAGCTCCAAAACAAAATTGTTTCAAAAAACTAAAGGTATAAAGTGAAACCAAGGCTTGAAGACTTGTATTGTGGCTAGAGAAAAGAATGTATATGGCTCAAAGGGGCTAGCAAGAGGGGCAAATGCAAACCAAATCCAAAAATAGAAAATCTATCCTATAAAAAGATAAATGCCTTTGTCATCCCCTAAAGTGGCTCGATCGCGATCTTGGGAGCTAAAACTTAAGTTCTAGATATGAGAATGCAATAGCCAAGGGTCCAAATATGCCGCTCAAAAAAGTACGATGAAGGCTTGAACAATTATACCTTACTAAGGATAGCAATAACTCACTCTTGGTTTCATATCCACTATAGAGAGCAAGTCCATCTTACCACAAGCAAGTAAAAAAGGGCTTCATGGTCCCAAAGTTCTTAACCAACTACCTTAGCATACCATATCCTGGAGTCAACCTAACACATTCTCAAACCATGCACACCTCTAAAATTTAGGAAGAAAGACATTCAAAAACACAAGTCCAAAAGTATTATGTCCAAAGTAAGAAAAAAACAAAACACATTGCAAATTTGCCTTGATAGAAACAAAAATCTTATTTGGAATTTTCAAAATATAGAAAATGGAAATGCATATACAAATGTGCATGTTATATATGAATCAAAATTCCACCAAACATGATAGAATACCCTCCCCCAAGCTTGAATGAGGCAACATGCTCAAACCATAAACCAAAGAATCCATGGGAGGGAAAAGAAAGAAAGTCATCCAACCAACCAACATATATCCTACAAGTCACAAATCATTAGAGGAAGAGCAAAGAAAGATATTACCGAACATTAGGTGGGTGTAAATACCTGCAAATGACCCAAAATAAACCTTTTGAAACCATCTACCTCCAAGAAAAGATCGTGCCTTTTACTCCATATGCTAGTTGTAGACACCTAATTAAAAATGTCTCCCTAAAACCAAACCCGATGATGAACAACCTTTCACCGCCATTATTAGTCGGGTCAAGTATTTAATCTCGGGAGTCCTTGAATCAGTCAAACATATTCAGTCAACAAATCAGTCCAAACATTTATTCAAACACAGTCCAACCCATATTTCAGCCCAAACCATTTTAATTCATTTTGTGTTATTTATTTATTAAGCCCGATTAATAAATAATAAAACCCTAAGCCTGAAATAAGTCCTAAATAGCTGAAACGGTGCCTAATTATCTCGTGCTTAATGCTTAAGTGAAATATAAAATGAATCTGGACGGAATTCTGAAAAACACAAATGCCGATACACGGCAAAATCTGTCGCGCCACGGAAAAGTATGCCGCATCACAGCAAAATCTCCCATGAAATGACAATTTTCTAGGGTTTCTCCGCGGCGCATTTCAATTCTAGGGTTTCGTGCATCACCCTGTTCCTTTCTTCTATAAATCCGAGGCTGATTTCCTCAGTTGTGGGGCACTTACACACATTCTCTTCTCTCTCTCAATATTCTAAGCCTCAAACCTATTTTCCTAATTACATCATTCCTTCCTTAAGCACTCCCCGGAGTCCATACAACACCCGAAGTTCTATAATTAAACCAAGGCGTGAAAGGTAGATTTGACTCAGGGTTTAGACCAAATCAATTCTATTTTTTTTTATTTTAAATTCAATTTGATTTATATTTTTATTGAAGTTACTAAAAATTTATTCATGATGTAGCAATTCAAAGAAACGCGGAACGTGAGTAATTAATTCACTTAATTACTCTTTTTATTATTCTTGTTGCTAGTATCATGATTAAGTTTATTATTATT